TGGGTGTGGCGTTGGAAACCTGGGATTGTCCAAACATACTCTTACAAGTTAGCATTATTATTACCTCCCAGTATGGTTCTTGAGGTACAGAGGAAATATGGTTTGGAAATGATGACAGGTCACATCCCTAAAAGTCCCAAACATAACAAATCGATTATATAAATGTCTCAGCATTGTCACATAATTATTTGGTTGGTTGATCATTTGAGTAATAGTTGCAGTTTTGCAGAACTTTGATAAAACAGAAACTGCACTTTTGTCCCACGCTTCCTTTTTCTATGTTAAATAAGGAAGCCACCAACAGCTAGAAACTGGTAAAGATCCTATTAAGCTGTTGTCATAGGAACAGTCACCACAAACATCTGCCATAAACATTCTTGTGTGGATTATTTCAGATGTTTGTCTAGTGGACATATCATTGGAAAACAAGGACTTTGGTTGCATACAGAGCGGTTCTAACAACCTGTGCCCATTGTTTCAAACTCAAAGTTGTTTTCAACCTGCAACAATTATTAGAAGTGTTTGATTAAGGAGCCCTTTGAGTATTTGTCTCTGAGGAAGTGTGTGGAATTTGAGTCCATGCAGAGGCAGTGGTCTGCTGTGGCCAGAGGAGAGCTCATAAAGGTTGCTTACAGTGTTTGTCTGTCCTTTCCCCAGGGGCTAAAGTGAAGCTAATAAAGCACTGAACATCATATGGTTGTAATGAAGTGGTGGAAACCAAAGTGACCATTACAGCCCTATTAAACAGCCATCAGTGGCTAATAGAGCCCTGCGTTAGAGCTGTTCAAAAACTAAAACATCATCACTGCGCTGCAGATAAAACCTGCTGTGACATCTGCCAATATAACTAAGAGAATTCCATAAGCAAAACAATAGACTGTGGATAAAGGTGTTGATGTCACTTGACCTGTTTGACAGAATCTCCTTTGCCTAAGGCTCTGCTGCTCAAATCTGAAAGACAAGCTGTGTGACAAGCTCACAACTGTCTACAAAATGTCCAGGGTCCATGAGTAAGAAGTCTGACTTTAGAGAATAACAGAGGCAAACCTTTTTTCAAAATTTTGTATGTCAGGGGCTAATTTGTGAGATCAATCATGTCATGTTCTTAAAAAGTCATCAAACCCCTTGACACTAACCATTGTGCACAATGTAACACTGACACATGTGTTGTTTTTGAATCACTTTTTTAATAAGACATTACAATGAAATGTTATGTACATGTTTTCCACAGTTCAATTAGAAATAAGAGCTGCACCACATGGCGTTTGCAACTTTTCACCAATCAGCAGCATCCCCTGACTGACCAGATGGCAACTGACGCAGGGCTACTGTACTTCTGTATACTCATGCTACAGATAGAGGCTATCATATACTGTCTCAATACTGAGACTAATCAACTGTGGTATTAGATTGAGAGCACTCAGAGCTGAATGACATTCCATTGGAAAGATTGAGTCAACTACATGTAACCCAAAATAAAAATAAAATGCATCCCAACAAGCATGTGTAAATTACTGCGGCCTATTTCAGCACAATTATATATCAAGACATGACACAGAAGGTCAATCATGTAACTATATAGCCCACATAAGGGAAGGAGGGGGAACAAAACAGGTCTGGAGTCACTTTTCTCTCATGTGAAGACTGATGACAAAAAGATGCAAGCAATGATCTATTTCATTTTTCCCTTGCAGCAGACAATCAAATCCAAGAAATACATTTTTGTTACAGTACTGTGTAGAGTCTTCAAAATAAGCTACTTGACATAAGCAATGTCATCTCTGAGGAAAATAACCAGAACCTAGTAACCAGTATTAGTCCAACGACAATAAAAGTAGATAGAATGATATAAAACAGGAGAAACCATAGGCAAAGGCGGTGATCTCAGTGGCTTCAATATTAGAATCCTATATTTCAATATTGACCCAACAAGCCTCCCATTTAATACATGTGGCAGGCCTGCTATAGGATAAAAGCAAACTTCAAGCCAGCAAACCCAGTTAAATATAAATTAGTGGTAGGGTGAACGTAAAGGAAGATGATCAACGTTTTCTTAACCATATCATTGAGAGATTATTTGTTACTCACACTTTAAGATTTGGGCCTAAAATCATCAGCTCTTTATCATTAAGACTTGTAGTTTGAGGTTAGCCATGTCAAGCCTTCATACAGTCCATCACCTGTGGTAGCACAGGACGGCTGCACATACCAATTCCTATCTCGGATGCGGGTCAATCCAAGCTTCTCTTGGATTTCGTGGGGCTTCATGGCATCAGGGAGATCTTGCTTGTTGGCGAATATCAGGATGATGGCATCCCTCATCTCCCGGTCATTGATGATGCGATGGAGCTCTTGTCGTGCCTCATCGATGCGATCCCTGTCTGCACAGTCCACCACAAAAATTAACCCTTGGGTGCCTGTATAGTAGTGTCGCCACAGAGGCCGGATCTTGTCCTGGCCCCCAACATCCCACACGTTGAACTTAACATTCTTGTAGGTGACAGTTTCCACATTGAATCCAACTGTGGGAATTGTAGTCACAGACTGTCCAAGCTTGAGTTTGTAAAGTATTGTGGTCTTGCCTGCAGCATCTAGTCCCAGCATTAATATTCTCATCTCTTTATTGCCAAATATTTTTGAAAGCACTTTACCCATTTTGAGCAACTGTGCATAAATACTTCAATCTTCCAAGAATAAAGTCACAATGTTTTTAAGCAATATAAGGTTGTAGTAGCTTCAATAGCCGATTATATACTTTTATCTTGAAATCATTCCTTAAACGTGGATACTATGTGGACATGCCCAAAGACATCAGGGTAGTATCCAAGACCCAGAAGAACGGAGGGACATAAATGTTCCGATTATCACAGGGCTCACGGGCCTCTCTCACAACATGGTACAAAAGGAAAAGCTTGTTGTCTCGCTTCGCAGTTCGTTCATAATTGTCTTATAAACACGCGGGTGATAAAGCTCCAGAAGGCGATGCTTGTCTGCCTTGCGTGTGTGGCGGTCCTCCTCACCGGGTGCGCCCTTGTACAGCCCCGTGTGCCGGAGAAAAGCGCACCTCACTGGTTATTCCGCGGAACAAGCCCTCGGTGCGCTCTGGGGAAATGCCCTTATAGTTTCAGCAGCGGACCGGTCCCGGGATCCTCTCCTGTAGACCTAAAATCAGATTTAGGAAGAGGGTCAGACGGGCAAAATTAGCTCGTTACATCTCACGGCTGCTAAATACCGCTCCTAAGCTAACGTTAGCTTGTTGCTGAGTAGGCTAACGTTTAGCTAAAATGCTAACGGTGGCTAGCAGTTACAAACTCATCATGGGCTTTGTAGTATGTGGCTTATTTTGTGAACGTCTCTTAGGATCCAGTGTGTTCATCGCGGTGCAATCGCCGTAGCCTTTCTATGTCTATTTACCGTGTGTCCGCCGTTAGTATCTGGTTTCATACACTCAGATTTCTCCGTTCTCCTCCAGTCGAGCCGCTTCACTTCTCCACCGGAAAGGTGTGGAGCTGCGTTTGGCCGCCACTTCCTCCCGGGGCTTCATTCACTTCATCTGCGCTGCGACTGCTTCACTGGAGTGTGGAGGATAGGCCTGCTACTACTACTACTACTACTACTACTACTACTACTACTACTACTACTACTATTAGGCTAATGACTGCGCCCACAGTTGTCCCCAAGTACCACCACTCTACTTTCTCACAGCTAAACCTGCTCACAAAATTGCTCTCACATGTTTTTATCACTTACAAAGCAGTTTAATAAGATGCTACTAAATTATAATAAATGGACGAAGCGATACCTATCTGTTCAAGTTTTACTCCCTGCATTCGTGTGACTGAATGTCAACACCATCACCTGTATTTTCTTCTTTTTCATCAATGGTTTTTCACGTTGGTAAATACTTTGTTAAGCACCTATGCTGTTTCTGAAAGAATAACGCCATCTTCTGGTAGAAAAGCTGCAGCAGCGGAGTAAATACAGCAGCTCATATTTTAGTGTGGAAAATATTTCTGAACTAAATCTAGTATTATACATTTATTTGTGCTGTTTTTTCTTGTTTTATAACAGCCACCTAAAGGTTTTAGCATTAAGTAACACATTTGGGGCTAAAAATGTTGGTCCTTGTAAACTGGTGATGTGCGATTCAGAGTTTAGATGCTTCTTTGTGAATTCCTGTGTCTACTGTCTGGGACCATGGATCTATGTTGGGACCATATAGGGACACAGATCCATGAGGGTCACGTAGATTCACGGTCACATGTGGCGCTGCTAAGCTGACCATGTGAGCCTGAGATCCACCCACAGCCGCGTCGTGGAGCATCAGCAGCGACGTTTCATCAGATTCCCATAAAATACAGGACACTGAAAAGAAACACAAGGCAAACCGCTGTTTCACGTTAGCAGCTTTTAACAGAGTCGTGTCTCTTTTAAGCATGCAGTTGTTATTGTCACGGCCGTGTCCTTGAGGGTGGCCCGTGAACGGTGATAGACTGAAGACACGAGACAAGTCCCCAGGGTGCTCAAAAGCTTCTTCAGACACCGGACCACCGGTGCAGGCGTAAATCATCATGGCGGACTCCACCTTTAGCTTAAACAACCTGACATCCTTAGCCAGGGCACTTTCACAGCCGACTTTAAATGCCATAGAACCTAACGAGATCAGCCCGCAGCGAAATGCTCAGCTACATCCGACCCGGAGAAGAAAGTTGTCCAGTTGCAGCTCGTTTGACAACATTGAGCCCGTCACTTCCCCGTCAGCCGAGGCGCGTGTCCTGGTCATCAACACCGGGGGAACCATCGGGATGACCCTCCACGACAATGGTATAGTATTAGTAATGTCGTAGTGCTCATATTTGGTCATGTCTTTTTAAGAGGTGTGTCGTTGCGTAGTGTGTAAGGGTGATACCCGCGCCGATGTTGTGACAACAACAAGCATATGCACGTGTATCCTGAAATAACCAGCTTAAGGCAGTCGAAGCCAGTGGCATCAGACAGCTGCATGCATCATGTAAAGTGCACACCCGGGGTCGGCTCTTAATTTGTTTACAGAGCTACTCAGGGTTAGAGGTGGACGTAAACTTACCTGACAGGGGTAACTAGTTTTCTCTCAATGAATAACTCGATGTTTACAGGAGAAGGTGGCTCTTATGCAACCTGAATGATTTGAACTTCAACAAAATAAGATGCATCCAAAGGTCCAACTCTAAAGTATATAATTAATCCTGATCAAACAACGTTAAGACGTAGATAATGCGTCATTCATTATAGGGCGTGATGTTTGTGAAAACATGAAAAAACATCTCCCTGCCAAAATAAGCAATACAGGTATGTCTCAACATGTGTATCCTACACTATTTGCCCAGAAAGTTCGCAGTTTCACGAAGTTTCTCATTTGCACATCAATACTTGTCGCTCTTGGCCCTGTAGGCCACCTGCGAAATTGGGGATTCAAATCTAGATACATTCTATTGCAGGGCCTACAAGAAATGTTGAACTTTAGCCTGTTGATTGCCTTCATTAACTTTCCATTTTTTTGAATGAAAGTCATCGTACTAACATTTTATATTACCTACCACTAGATGTCAGCACAGTAACTGTGTTTGTGAAGTGCCATGTCACATTTCATCATGTTATAACCAATCCTATATTGTTGTTCCCAGTGCTTGCCCCCAAACCCAATGCATTTGTAAAGGGCCTACGTAAACTTCCCATTCTCCACGATGAGTTGTATGCCCAACAGACCTGCCTCTACCAATATTATGGAGAAAACTCTTTGGTCCTACCGTAAGTTTGAGATTTTCTTATTTTGTATGGTTAAATAATACTTAATAATAATAATACTTAATTTGCAATACACTGGGATAATATTAACACTTGTATCTTTATAATAATTGTAATATATGATAAAAAATATTACATTGTGTTAATTTTGTAACAGGAAGCCAACGCCCAATCCTGACTATACTGGCCCTGTGTTAAGCGGGTACCATTGTTTGTGCCTGCACTGTGCTCGGGAGATTTTATTGAGGGTGTGCTGGCCTGACAGGAAATGCACGTTTGCATAAGGAAGTGTAACGGATTCTGTATCTGTGATAAGCGTCCAGGGTGATGCAAATCCAGCCAAGATGGGAAAAGAGTGGAGTAGTGACATTAGAATATCACCTGAATGCATCTTTGAGTCTATAACACGTGTGTACTGTGACTGTAATTAGATAATTAGCAACTAAGGCATGAGGTTAGTGCATGTGTTAGTCATAAGTAGGGATACAAGGAAAGCATTTTTTCCTAGCTTTTACTTCAAGATTACCAACACCATCTGCTCTTAGTCAAATGTGGATTAAGCCTAATAAGAGTTTCAACAATAACTTCTGGTTGTTTTTCCTGGGATTTGCTCGCCTCCCCCTGCTGTGCCTTTCAGTTACTTTGCCCATGTTTTAAGCTGATTTATGATAATGTGAACGGGGGTTGTCGCTCTCTAAAGTAAAAAGCTGAGGCAAAATCAATAGCTTTTTCTTATAATGTAATATAACTCTGCTTTGGTTTGGTCTGAAATGCTTGCTAAATACGATATATAACTTGAAAATCAAATGCATTGTGTTATTTCTATTACAATTACCCTACACTAAGCACTTATTTTTTTCTTAAATTCCCTTTCCCGTGTGGCCTGCCAAAAGGATCAGCGTAATAGATTTTTCTTGCTTCATAAACTCACTGTGGGTTCTCGCATTTCCAGAGCCCTCTTAAAACTCACACTTTAAATTAATCACTACTTTATCCAACTTTGTTAGATTGGTTCAATAAAGATAAATGACCCAATTTGCAATTTCTCTATGGGGACTAATTTTAGCATGTGACAATGTGCTTGTGCGCTTTCATTTGCACCTAAACTAAATTAGAATGTTTCTGTATACCGCCTGTTTTGTGACGGAAATTGCCCTCATGTGCTTTTGCAGGGCGAGTAAAGACAGTAAGAGGATAGTGTACACGATAATGGAGTACAGCCCCTTGTTGGACTCTTCAAATATGACCACAGATGACTGGGGTAGAATTGGAAAAGACATTGAGGTACCTATTTGCAATGATTGTATGAATAGAAGTAAATGTGCACAATACATTTGACATATCTGTTTGTGTTTTGTTTCAGAAAAATTACCAAAGCTATGACGGTTTTGTGATTCTCCATGGGACGGACACTATGGCTTACACAGCCTCAGCCCTGTCCTTCATGTGTGAGCATCTGGGCAAACCGATTATACTCACAGGTTCACAGGTAAATATGATTTTTGTCTAGATTTTTTTTTTTTTTAAATCTCTCAAAGTAATAACTTAAAATGGTCTGATTTCAGGTGCCCATCTATGAAATACGGAATGATGGCAGAGACAACCTGTTGGGGGCGCTGTTGATTGCAGGACAGTTTGTTATCCCTGAGGTGGAAAAAAAAGTTTTAAACAATTTTCATGCATAATTTATAAAACGTGTTCAAATATATAGTTGAGATAACAAGTGTAATACATGAATAGTTTATTAGCGCACTAAATAAATAACATTGTTTACTTACAGTGTTTAGAGAGGTTTCAGTAGCAACAAAAGCTCTAGTGTCTTGACCGATAATAATAAGACAGTGATTTGTGCTTCATGACATTGACTGACAATTATCAGAGTAGAAAAACTAGTTTGGTAAACTATGGGGAACACTACCAACTTCCTATAATTGGTAATTATATGCTTTATCTGTTCTTGTCTTTAGGTGGGTTTATATTTCCATAACAAACTGTACAGAGGCAATCGTGCAACCAAAGTGGATACTGGGAGCTTTAATGCGTTCTCTTCTCCTAACTTGGCTCCCCTGGCCTCTGCTGAAGTGGACATTATAAGTAAGCCAGAGGGACAGTCTGTCTCAATGCATTAGACCCTACATATTTAATGAGTGTGCCCTGATGTCTGGAGTAAAAGCCTCTGTCCTTCACTTGTAGTTAACTGGGACACCGTGTGGAGGGCCAACACAACAGCCAAGTTTCAAGTGAGCACAGAGCTGAACCGGAATGTGGGGCTGCTGCGACTTTTTCCAGGCATCACTGCTGCCACTGTGAGTCCCTCCAAACAGGTTTTGCACTCAGTCAACCACAGAGCCAGATCTGTATCTCCTGCACAAACATTAGATCGTGTCTTTTGTATTTGTGAAAAGACAAATGAATAATTAATATGGTCCTTTAGGGAATTGAGTATCATTTGTAACTGGAAGTCTACGCTTGTCAGAGAGATTTGGCAACATCTGCTGTAGTATTGACAATACATTTCTATTAGTTTCTTTTCTCTTCTGGTTGGAAAGCTTTAAATCAAGAATGGAATGCTAATGTATATTCTCATACTTAGAATTAGACAAATATTGATCTACAAGGGAAAGTATACTTTTCCTCAACGTGAGTTACGGAGTACAAATAATTAATACTAACATTTCTTCAACCTGTGAGTATTTACATAAAACTAAAAGTTGTTCAGTAAATACTACATATATTTGTAAAGCTACAAAACTATTAACTACATTTATATCTCTGTAAATGGCCAGTTTTCTCGTCCTTCCGTGTTCATGTAAACTGCCACCACAGCTCATCCTAGAGAAGGCAATGGAGATATATGGGGCATGACCGATCACCCTGTAAAGAGGGAGGATTGGCATCGATACTGTAATGTTTAGTGGCACCTCCCCCTCCCGGGACAGCTGCAAGAGTGACTTTACAGTCTCAATCTGCGCCGCTCGCCTATCAAGACTTCCTCATGGCCTCTAACTGGCTTTATGGTGCAAGTTTTGATTAGGCACCAGGCTCCTGTACGTCTACCTTCATGAGTACTCTACGCCCGGCCTTTCTCGTCCAACTGCTTATGGCATCAGAAAATACTCACTGAAGCTGGCACTTTTAATGTCACCTTCTCCCAGTGTTTTACGGTAACTGCCGCCGTTGTGCCAAGCGACTTTATGCTTGCTAACACCTTCAGATTAATTACTCTCTTCCCTGCCATTTTAGTCATCTGCCTTTCGCATCGTCTGCCATTGCTAATGATGTGGTATAGGGCCTCCCAGTGCCAGCCAACCACAGAGAGAGAGAGATACTGGGTGCGGAGGTGGTTCCAGATGGGCTTTTAGGGGGCTGGATGGTGTAAGAGGGCTTCAGGAAAGATAACATGGAAGAATAATTTCTGTTTTAATCCTTGAACAGTTGAACAGTCAGCACACGCAGCAGTATTTTGATTTTACAAGATGAACAGCTGCAAATTTATCATCGGAGCACTATCAGCAATATGAGTAATTTGTATCAAGCCCCAGCTCTGACAAGAAGAAGTTAGTTTAGAGCTCCAAATCCATAAATTATGAAAAATATGTTAGGAGGGAACAAATAATTATACTCATGGCAAGGTGCATTTTAAAGGTTCTATATTATACAAATTGTACTCCTGTGAGCTTTAACTCATGTTAGAACTTTATATCCTACTTAAAAACATACCTAGACTTTGTTTCATTCACACGTTTGAGTAACCCTTTGTTATTAGTCTGTCTACATGTCCAAAGCTTAAAATGCTCTGTTCCAACTTGTGATGTTATGTTAAAGACATTATGGCAAGGCAAGGCAAGTTTATTTGTATAGCACAATTTGTACACAAAGTAACTCAAAGTGCTTTACAGAATAAGAAATACATTAAAATCACAATAAAAAAAAAATCAAAACATAAATAATCATCATTTAAAAAAAGAGAGACATTAAATTAGAGAATGAAAACCTTTCAAACATATGCACAGCTAAACATAACTGTTTTTGAGCCTGTGTTAAAATAGAAGCCTGTCTCACCTTATAACATACATCAGAAAACAACGCAATATGGGCCCTTTTAAATTGATTTAATACCACATCAGTATCAAAATAACTGTTAGCCAGCGATAACTAAAGATACTGTTTATGGATACATTGCAAAAATGGATAAACTTAATTTGTCTCATTCAGGTTCGGGCCTTCCTTCAGCCTCCGATGCAGGGAGTTGTGCTGGAGACATATGGCAGCGGAAACGCTCCCGACAACCGCAAGGATCTACTCGATGAGCTGAAGAAAGCCACTGATTCTGGTGTCATTATCATCAACTGTACACAGTGTCTCAGGGGAACAGTTTCCACATCCTATGCAACGGGAAAGGTATGGTTGTTTGCCGTAATTATATTTACGCTTCTTCTCTTTATCCAACCAAGGAATGATGATTGATTTCTTTTTTTTTTTGGTAGGTTTTGATTGACGCAGGACTGATAGCTGGTGGCGACATGACTCCAGAAGCTGCACTCTCAAAGCTGTCCTATGTGTTGGCAAAGAATGACCTGGATCTACAGGCAAAGAAAAAGGTATGCCAACTTATAACAGGCGTATGTTACATGTGCTCCTGTGTGTGTACTGCAAAATTGTTTTAAAAAGTCATTTGAAAACGCCGCAATAAAGCTTAGTATCACCTCTGTGTTCCTGTCAGCTTTTTGCAGTCTTCAAAGTAATGCTGTGTTTGTAGATGATGAGTCAGAACCTCAGAGGGGAGATGAGAGCTGATTTAGCTGGAGCCAAGCTGTGCCTGAGTGACAGTCGTTTCATCCAAGTCATTGCCAAATCTCTGAGCATCAGCTGCAAAGAGGTGAGGGCAGGCACTGGAGCACTGAAGCTTACGAGCGCGTACAAGTTTGAATCTTGTTTTGCAACGTCTTTTATTTATGATGTTCGATTGTTTTGTCTAAAGGAGTTGGAAGCAATCCGTGATGCCCTGACTCCCCCGTTAGCCTGTGCTGCTGCTAAGATTGGAGACATTGAAGCACTTGAGGCCTTAAAAGAAATGGTACTTTATTCACATCGCATGTGACATGAGGTTTTATTTCCAAATGAGGTTATGCCTTAATCTTGGACATAAGATTTCTTTGATCTTTTAAATATGTTTTTGAATCAGGAGAAGTCCCATGTGACGATAAATGCCCAATAGAAAAAAAGAAAAAGATGCATAGAAGAGCATGAAACTAAACATGAGGCTAGACTTGTTAGGCGAGCTAAGTTTGTCTCTAAAGAACAAAACACATGTGACTTGTCTATCCCAGCGCATTTTAGAAATGTTTTTTTTCCAGATACTAAATGACTAAAGAAAATGTGTTGGGTTTTTTTTCTGTGACAGGGCAGTAATTTGTCTTTAGGAGACTATGATGGACGGACGCCTCTTCATGTGGCGTGTTGTGAGGGCAACCTCAAAGCAGTGCAGTACCTGCTGAGCCACGGCGCCACAGTGTACGCTAAAGATCGCTATGGGGCCACTCCCCTGTGCAATGCGGTACACTTTAGGTAAGACCTGATTGTAATGCACGCCATCATAAAGCTGTAACAGCTAAGCCTCCCTGTTGGCAACTAGCATCTGTAGCACTTACACTTTGGTTTCCTCAAGGGATCATCTTAATGACTCTTTAAGGTGTATCTTTCATCAGAGGACTTCTGCCACTGTGCGTGATGAAGGCAAAGGGGAATTAAACAGTGAACCCTAAAGATCACCCTAGCCCTGATTTTCAGATGATGACATTGATTGTTAATCAGACTTAAGCTAGCGCATGGTTTTGCAAAGCATTTGTATTGTTAAGTTCTTCAATGACATGGCCAAAAGTGTGCACCTGGAATGCTATTCTTCATGTGTAAGTGCGATGCTTAGCCTCCGGGTGAAAACGTTGTGTTAAAGCTGTGCCAAATGTCTCTTGTCCCTTTTTAACGGTTGATTCTGCAAGTGCTGACATGTTTGCCATGTGGTAGCAGATGGACCTCTGAGTATGCATTAGAGTACTGTACTAAACTATTAACAAATATATTCACTGGTTAGTACTTAGAAATAATTAGGTATAGTCATACATCTTAGTATGTCAACAATTTTTATATTTGAATAGCACTGAGATTACACAGAGCAATCACAGTCTGATGCCCATATAAGGACTGGCAGAGTATAAGGTGAGGGGTAGGGTAAGAACAACTGTGGGGAGTGTCTTAAGAACCAGTCCTACCAGCCTGCTCCCAGTTTCACGGAGATACCAGTATTGTTGCACACAAGAGGAAGTCATGTGTCTACTTGAAATAGTTTCTTCTTTCGTTCTGATTCATGATCCATAATAAACTGATTAAAATAAAATGACGGCTTTGGTATTTATCAGATGCATATGGAGTCACTGGTATTTGTTTTTGAGTAGAGAACTGTGATTTTTTTTTTATTGCTAATGTCACTGTGTTGTGTGGGTGGTTTATTATGGGGGTTAGGGACTTGTCACAACCTGCCAACCAACTCTACACACCTTCAGACTGTAGTCATTTTACATTATTTAAATTATTTTCTTTATAGTTGTTGTCCTAGTCCACATGTTAATACTAAATCATGTTTCAAGTTTATGAGAATAAACATAGATTTGACTTTGAATTTTGTGTTGATGGAGGGTAACTAATACTGATGTAAACCCTCTGGATTCTAGACACAAGGAAGTGGTGAGGCTATTGAGGAAGACTGGAGCTCACTTTTCTCGTAACGAGATGGATGAAGCAGGCGTAGAGCTGTGCAGGTGAGACACTTATAAACATGACCACCAGTCATTCGAGTCGCACTGTCTGTCCACAGTGACCTATCCTACATAGCTGATGCAGGCCTAACCTGTCGTCCCACTCTTACACAAAGTGCAGGAATGCTGTTTGGCAACATTTCTTAGCATCTCATGTGCATCTCTAAAGTTAGGCAGATAATATTTATTCATGATACATTATCTAAAAAAATTGTATATAGCTAAAATAATGACTTGGAGTTTGTCACTATATATTGTAATTTGTTAAACTATATAAAACATTTAACAGGAACAAAACTGGATAAAACAATCAACACTTAACCTTAACACCATATTGTGTTATAATTCATCAAAAACTACTCAAATACTGAAATAAATTCATTTATGTGTTTTGTTTGTTTAGTTTTTTTTGTCGTTCAAAAGCTTTGAAAAACACAAAACACTTTTACTCTGAGTGGACTTGCCTCTCCACATACCTGACAAGTAACTTGGCCTGTTGGTATGACACTTGCTTGTCTCTGTGGAAATGTCATTTTTATGCTGCAATGTTCTACAAATATAGTACAACACTTTTTTATGTTCATGGATTCCAGAAATGTTACGCAGCATGACTTTATTAACTATAGAAATTTTGTAGGAAACTATGTTCTAATCACCATTGTGTTTTTGTTTTTTCTCAGTCTGGCGACCAGCGGGGACTTGGAGGGTCTAGAAATCTGGAGCCTTGCTGGTGCAGATCTGACTAAACCAGGATATGATGGACAAAACGCCATTCAAGTGGTGTGTAAAACATTAACACAATTTAAAAAACAAAACAAAAGAAAACAAAGAAAAGAAAAAGAAAATGTGTTTCACCTTTTCTTGAGTGACAACTTTTCTTATTGTCACAGGCTCAGTCGGTTGGCCAAAAAGAAGTGGTAGCATTTTTAGTCCAGCTCATGAGCAATAGAACCAAGGTAAAATAAATAGTGGGTGTAATGCATGGATCCCTTCAGTACTCAAAATGTCCTTCTAACTTCCTCTAATCCCATTATTATTGGGATTATCTGTTCATAATTACAATTTTGTTTTGTTTAATTTCAGACAGTTTTTGGTGACTTTAGTGAATATGATGAATTTGATAATGATGAGGAGGAGGTAATTTACATGTGGTGATTTTTCCATTTTGTGCATGAAATCCTCTTGATCCCTAGTGTCTTGATTTGGGATGTTTGAATCAAACGTGTTTTTTTTGTTCTGTAAAAATGTCATCTCTTTCCTTTCTAATGTTCATATGTTCACCTTTGCTTCCACTTTTTTATTGACATACATAATTGTTTGTGGTGGACTTCGTAACATTTGAACATACTGAAGAATGTTGGTTTAAAAATGCAACACTTTGGAAACTTCATAATATTGTCCAGTATCATTACCACTCACTATTTTTGTTCTTGTGAATGTATCCAATTTTTGCATTTTTAAATGTGGATTTTGTCTCGTTTTTGTGCATTGGGATTTTCAAAAAAGACTAACTAGTTGGCACTGAAAGTACAATATAATGATCCTAATAAACTTGTAATTGAAAGATGCAATCAAGTTGAGTTTAAAATTAGCTCACCTCACCCTTTCTTTTCCGTCCAAGCCTCGTCAGATCTAGTCTAGTGGCATTGTGGCAGCCTGCTCGCCTGGCCGCACATTCCTTTTGGTGAATGTAGAAGCTCTGCAGCCTTCCTCATTGGTCAACATGTGTGTTTGTGTCTAGTCATGACAGCTTTACCACCTATGGACTGGCATCTCATTTTATGCTTTTTAGTAACTTTTTATTTCTTTTTTGTCTTAGAACGGGATCGAGTTCACCGCCCCCACATCAGGACTGTGAAACCCCCAGAGGACCACGCCACCTTTACATCCACTTTGCAGTCTTACTTCCCAGCTTAATACACCAGTAAATCTTGAATGTGTCAACTTGTCTGTCCCTGGGCTCTTAAATGGCTTTGAAATATGTCTAACCTAACCATGCCAACTTTATCTTACTGTTCCTAGCTTTTAATGTGTCTAAAGCCATATAATGTTTCCATCCAAAATGAGTAAAAGCACAGCACTAACTTGTGTATATACTGTACAAGTGTAATGAACCAGCAATGCTATAAATGTATGTATTGTTGTTTTGATTGTTTTACTCACTGACTGTTTTAAATGCTGCTTTTAATGCCGAAAGGATTGTTATTGTAATGTGCTGGGAAATCAGGGTTTGAATAAATGTGATATATTTTTACAGGGAGAGTGCTATAATCTCCCTTGCTACTCATTTGTGAATTTAAATATGGCCTGCAGCAATAAATGTATGGTGTCTATAAATTTTCAGTTACTTTAAGCATTTCAAAAACACATTGGTAACTTTACCCTGAGACAAGATTTTATTGTTTCCTGCAGCCAAAACAGGTAATGCAAAAACCAGCAGTTACCCTTCAGACCCAACCAGTTTGAGAGACTACAGTCAAGCTGGAAGAGTTGCATATCTCTGTATTTCAAACTATGCTCACCTGTTTTTGCTAAATGTTTTTGCACTGTTGAGGTCATTTCCACACAAATGTTACCGCTGAATTTCAATGCAAGTTCAAAACGTCTGCTGTTGTCTGTCTGTACTCTACTGTAGAGGGATGAGAGGTGCTGAGAGATGTTGAAATATAGTGGTCTATTTTGCTGTGACAAAAGCAATAAAAAGTAAATCTCTTGTATCAAACCCCGGTCTCTCGTTGGTGGGCTCCATCACTCTCAGGCTAACACAGACAGCACATTATGTGCTGCACAGACCCCACTGCAATTTCCACTTTGACACAGTGTTCTGTATGAATTACTCTATCCAATTGTTGCGGGTCGTTTATATTAGCTTGAGCTGTTTCTTTGTGTTTAGTAAAGTTGTGTCCAGAATAATAATGAGACTATCAGCCTCCACATTATAAAGTCAACCCTTGTCTGGTACCTTTGTGTTTGGGGACTACTCAGAAACTGATTTAAAGCATTTTAGTTCAAATGAAACCGTCCATGTAACTGATGGCCTTCTCTGTGTGTGTGTGTGTGTCTGTGTGTGTGTGTTTGTGTGCGTCTGTGTGTGTGTGTGCCTGTGTGCGTGTGTGTGTGTGTGTGTGTGTGTGTGTGTGTGTGTGTGTGTGTGTGTGTGTGTGTGTGTGTGTGTGTGCATGCGGAGGGCGGCTGCCCTGTCGTGCTCTCGTGCTGCTCACTAGGAACCCAGCTCATCCGGTCCGACCAGCATGGGCCTCATTCCTCTCTCAATGAGAGGCTTGTATCAACCAAGCCCCAAAACAGTATATAAGCAGCTCCCAGCCCTCTGTCAGACATTGTGGCCCTGGGTGACTTCAGGAGAACAACGTCTCAGGAGAACAGCTCTACAGGTAAGTGCGCTCTGACGCACAGCCGTAGTTGACCGGACGAATATGTTTTTCATGTTGTTTGTTTTGAATCTTTTGAACTGACATGTTTTCTTTCTTCAGTTATCTCAACGTGTAAAAGAACTATGGAATGTACATTAGGTCTCTCAGATTAAGTGGTTCTCAACAGTTCAACAGTTCTTTAACAAAATTGTGAAATGTTTAGGACCACTTGACCAGTCAGACAAATACTACCAACTACTACATTGGAGGCACGACTGGAGTCACCACTTTGGTCACGTTATTATTGCATCTTATTTTGGTAGGTTTTGTTAAGTCTTGTTAAGATGGACAATTTCTTCTTTTTTAAAGATTTAATGCATAGTTTTTAAAGTTATTATTTATGCTTACTCGCTTTTTGTATAGTAGCCTACTTCTGCAATCAGTGATTATCTAATTCCCCAATTGTATGTCCTGAGCAATGATTAAAATGTGTCAATGAAATCACCTGGACTCTGTGCAATGTGTGGGTCGGAGGGGAGGTCGCTGTCCAATGTTCTGAAACTGGTCTGCTTTTGTTTACTTGCGCTAATATTAAATGTGTTTACTTCTACAAAGGTTTTACGCACAGCTCAAGTTCCATTTTCACGCGTGACAAATCTAAATCCGATACAACGCCGGTAAGAATAGGAATTGGCTACCCTATATATTGCATGAATCATTCATGAAAACCCCAATTGCTCCCCCTTTTTCAGACATCCCTCTTTCTCCTCCTTCTCCCTCTCTTTGATCTCCTCCATGCGCCAAGAACTATCAATATTTGCTAAACGTTTCTCACCAAGCCTTGTCCTGCGCGAGGATAAGACGTGAAGGGGAGCGAGAGCAGCGGCATTAATGAGATGCCCTCAGCGGTGCGCCTGTACGTGCGCAAAGGGCAGCAGATGTAGCAGTCTGCTCCCAGGGGACCACGTCCACGGAATTTCATCAGCGACTTGGGGGCAAACCGAAGCTAGACCTCCTCCACCGGGGAGAGCCCCTAAATCATCTTTTACTATACACTGTAATTATCCACACAAGCATCTCCACATTCAGCCCATCAAAAGACTTATCCTCAATGGCAGCTCTTGAATATTTTTAGGTTATTGTTAACTCCACTTCTCTTGGCAACGCAGCACGGCATTCTAAACGCTGACTTTATATCTTAGAGGCGGTCAAACATGTGCCTGTACAACGGGAAATATTTTAAAATAGCCTTCATTAATCATATTTAATTTGTGCGTAAAAGACCGTAAACTTTTTATTCGGTGATGGTCAAGAGATCTTGGCACGCGTCAGTGACGTCAGCGCGTGTTAAACTATCCAAAAAGCGCATGGTAATGATTTGGCTGTCAATTAATTGTTTCTTGGTTTGTCACAACACGCTTTTCGAGGTTGTGGCTATAGCTTACATCAAGACATCACGTAATGAATCGAGGTGTGAAGGATTTGACTGATTGCATCCGATCTGAAGCTGAGAATTAAGAAGAATGCGTGCGGATTTATTTTACAGTCAATGATACAACATTCTTAGTGTACAGCTCATTGTAGTATTCATCCTCATAGTTTTAGTTTGGTGATTCTGCTTCAAGTCTTTCTATTTCTTTTACAACACAATCTGATGTCACAGCCACACAATGTGTTCAATCTCTAACAAGGGTCAGCCTGTTGGTGATGACGCCTATTCATTGCATATCGATTAGCAATCAGCAGATCCTACTGGATTTCAGACAGAGTTGCATTATTTATCAGCAGCTCCAGTGGCAACACCCTAGATTAAGATTTTGGCCCTTAGAGGTCACACAGGAGTCAGTTGGGTGAAATAAACTTACGAGCCTGATAAGGGTGTGTATATAATTACTTCACTTCAAGTAACTTAAATGTATGCGTTATGTGGGCATGTATAACAAAAGCAGTCTAATCTATAGAGTATCATACAGTGGCTCTAGCAGAATAAAAGACATGAGGGTGGATAGTGCCATAATAAGGAATGTAATGATAGGGATAAAACTATGATATATTAGGAGACAATATACGGTGGGGACATTAGAAAACCATCCCATAATAAGGCACTAGAAGCTGACGTTATGTGGCTGCAGGTTGTCACTGTGTTTTACATGAGCGCGTGGGGCGCTGACAAGTACAGCCACCAGCAAATGGGGTGGGCGCGCAGGTCATCAGTGTGAGAGAGGGAGTGATTGAGAAGAGCGGAGACAAGAGGAACGGCAGATGTGCAAGGTGCTCACTCAGAGCCGCAGACCTGCATCCCGCGCGGTAAGGCACGCTGCACAAGTGGATGTAAACTCGCCTGAATGGATTCTACCGTTTTATTGTGTTCTCACCGGAGGGGCTGTGTTTTACGCACACGTGCAAGCGCTCACCGCAAGTGACGACTGGATGTACGGCTTAAACCCTGTGGATGTAGTTGCTGGAGGGAACGTGAGATGTAAAGTCCTGTTGCATGGATGTACGACTCAAGGTGTTTGTTTCCTAAAGAGTGGATTATTGTGTAAGGAACGTGCGCTGCCCACATGGCTTTACCAAACTCATCGGGGTCTGGAGGGGCTGGGAAGCCCAACCCTGGTGTCATAGACCTGGGTACCATCATCGTGGACTCTGATATTATCTTTGGGTTCACAAGTCACCTGCTCAAGAGAAAGACAAAGGTAAGAAAGAACAAAGTGATCGCAGTGACGGAAAATGGTGATACCATGTTTGCGCGTAATCAGTGCGTCTTTAAGACTCTGACCATAAAATCAGCGCTCCTGTCCACTGTTCAGCACCTTGAACAGCACCGTACAACAGCTATAATGTACTCATCACATCAAAATGTTTATTTACACTTTCAGTTATTAATGTCATATTTATGGAAATGGGCAATTTGAAACTCAGCAACTGTTGCGCAGATATTAGAGAAATATTAACTATGTCTATTTTATTAGATGACAACTCAAATAAAGAAACCTCAATATAAAGACAATGTAGATATATTATTTAATATCTTTGAAAACTTTCTCTGTTAATTTTATGAGTAAACCTAACCCAATCTGTTGAATATTGTTGTAGCTATAAATGTCCTATTGTGTCGTTCAGTAATAGCATTTACATTTTTTATTGGATTCAGCTTGAAATCTCAGTTGTCCTTGAAAAAATACAAAGAAAATAAGCAAGCAAGCAAACAAACAAAAAGATAATATATTCGTACGTAGCAACTGTTTGTGTAAGAAGCTTTGACTAAAATCACGTAGGTCGTTTCAGGGCAGCAAGAGAACAATTTTCAGAGCAAAGGCATCGTTGGATGTGGCCATTGTGGCTTACATCATCCGTATGAAATATTTAAAGTTTACCAAATTAATATTTAACTGAAGAGAGCCCCACACCCCTTTCCTTTTTACAACTGTTGCTGTTTAGTGTTTTGGTCGGGTGATGGCGCCAGAGTAGCGCCGACTACACCAAGAACCTGGCAGTGTGGGCTGTAGCGCGCTTTTCTAACAACGTGGAGCCCACTGGAGCCTATAGGGCAAGGGCTTTTTTATATGAAATTTCAATCATGCAGAATCACAACAATCACCGGATTGTTGCCATATTTGAAAATTAAATTTTAATGTAAACAGCGTCCTGTTGCAGCAACAGAATTAAGGTAAGTGAACTTGTCTGTAACTTAATAGCCTCTCCGAAAACAAGTGGCTACCTGGAAGAGGCTTCACCTTCTACACAACACCCCCACCCTTCGCTGTTATAACTGTATAAACAATATAGTAGACTATCCTCCTCACTCAGCCGCGGTGCTGTCTTTCCCCTGGTCTGCTCTTGTGTCGCTCTTGGGTCGGCTCCAGCCCTCCCATTCCAGCAGCAGACGCCGCCTCCTGGTGTAGCCCTGGACCAAACTCCCGCTGCGGCTCGTAAACTTTAGGACTCTCCAGTCCCCGTCTCCCAGCCAGCAGCCTTTGGTTCTGTACACACCGACAGATGACTTTTATCTCGCAGTCAGTGCCAAAGTCTCGCCTATGGCTGCGTATCGCGGTTTTCTGCGGCTTTTCCCAACTTTTTAACTTAGCACGAAGAAGAGCGTCTTCTCCGAGCTTCAATTTGGGAGAATGAACTCAGCTGAGAGGTGTTCAGATGCTGATGGACCGGAACAAACTGACCGGGGCTTCACTGTAAGTTTCTCACTAAACCTGTAGTCTATATTGTCATTTAATTATCATTTGTCTTTTCCCCCTTTTTGCTCCACGAGTTGCAATCTTGAGTTTGAAGACAAGACAGGTGCTTTGTGACCTAGCAAAACTGAAGTTGCGTTTTTAATTTCCCACGTGTC